ATGTAATTAAAATAAGAGCTTTTCTCATTTTTCACTGCTGCAAAAAAACCAGGTGATCAGTTTGACTCATAAGTTCTAAAGTACTTGGCTTAACACAGAGAAAGAAATCTACAGCTAAGCTGTGGATTTCTGCGACAGGAACAGTCGGCACGGTCACTTCAGGGTATTCTGTAGCCCTTACCTGGTGAAGAAGCTTGTTTTCATGATCTAACTACTTCTTGCTCCATGGTTGAATGCGTTAAAATAGTGATATTGATTTGACATTCCCTTAGGGAAGTATCTGCTATTGGAAAAAGTGACCCTGAGAAAAGCCCAATTTCGTCTGCTAAAATAGAGGTAGATGGAAACAAGAGCATGCATGGTGGGGTGGAAGCGCTGCCCCGTTCCACACATCACCAGCAGCAAATACTGTCAGCAGCAGCTGATTCAGGGAGATTAGCAGAGCAGTTTGCCAGTGTGCCTTTTTTAATTGAAACCATCAGTTTTGGTTTTCTTCCTACTTAACATGTTTTGCAATAAAGTGTTGCATAACATTTGTATTTGTTAACTACTAACATTTATCAAAGGTTGTCTAGTTTTGGTGCATTATTGACAGACTTTTGGGGAGCAGCACACAATTCCTGACCGATGCATCACGTCAGCAACAAAACTCATGTCAGGTGAAATTCAGAATTAAAATGTTTTTTGTATTAGAAAACCTGGATTTTACACCAGAGCAATTGCCAGAAAGGAACTCTTTCATAATCAGTGTTTCAGCTAAACATTAAAAGTAGTAGCCCTGCCTTTTGTTGCCATAAGTAATGCATTAAAGGACTTCTCCGTAGTGAAATTGGGCTTTTCTCTGGATACTTTTCCTAGCAGAGGACATTTTTCCTGATTGAATGCCAAATCAATATCAAAGCAAGTAATCAGAGCACTTAACTGAGCACAGGACAGCAAAAATTGAAGTCAAGCAGTCTATAAAGTGTGAAATCTGTTAAATCATATCATTCGCAGCCCAATTCTCTCTCCTCTGGCTGCCACTTCCCAGCCAGAAGCCCCCAAATAACCAGCCAACACTTGCAAGGTCTCACAGAGTAAAATCGTGACAAGGCAGCACTTGTTGGGAGGTGGCAGTGGAAGGGGAACTTTGATGTTTCCTTGCCTGGCATCACGCAGCTCTCCAAGGGGATGTATGAACTTGTTGGGAACACGGTGATGTGATCAGGTGAAACGTATGGCCCAGAGAAAGGTAGAAGCACTGTGACAGCACTGATGGAGCTAAGGATGTAGTAAGGCATGGTTTACAGGGAGCAGCAATGGTGTTTCTGTCACAAGCCAGGTGAGATAGGCAGGCAGAAGGACTTACAGGCATGAAAACTCACAGGGACTCACACTGATAGGGAAAAAACCTAATTAGCTCTGACTCAATTAGTGCTTGTTTAAAGCCTCCCCTCCAGGGCTGCTCTCTACATGATACTGCACATGAGACCCCAAGTTTGTTTTCAGGAGAAATTCGGCTTTCTCTGAAAGCATGAAAAAGGACGATGCTGAGGACAAGACTTAAATGTCAGACCTTAACCCACTGTTGAAGTGAGCTGTTACAGAGTCCGCAGATACACCGAACAATAATGTCTAGTTTATGCTCCCTCCTGTGTTTTCACTTTGCACAGAAGTTAGAAACTGTATTTCCTTAAAAGGAGGACGCTTTAAAACAAAAACTGAACTTGAAGTTTAACTTCAGCTTTTCAGACACTGCTATCAAAAAAGTCCGTGCACCCTATGCTCGCGCTCTCTTCTGGGTCTGTTAAGATCTTTTGTCTCAAGCCTTTCCTTCTGCAAGCATCAAAAGCCGTGGTCTGGTGGGGTTTTGATCTCTTAAGAGAAGGAACTTTTACCCACAAAACAGGCAGACAACTCGTTCCTGTAGTGTGCATGACCATATACAGTGTTCAAGTGGAAAAAAATGGTTCGTTCATGACTCCTTTGTGATTCATTGTTTCCTCGGAGTCATTACTCTGGTCCAGTGTCATTTTCCTATATATGTAGCTCCAAAGCTATGGAGGGGAACAGCAGTAAGTTCACTGGTGCTTCGTTCAGTTGGCTGCAAGTTAGACACTGCCAGGGTTGTGAGGTAAAATAGTTGGCATAAAGTAGGTGGGAAAATAGAGTTGCAGGGGAAAGTTAAACAGGGCTCACCGAGCAAGAAGCTTCTCAGTTCTCTAGGAATTTCTACCATTTGTGTTTCTGGCCAGCTTGTGTACAGAGGGTGGTAACATAAGTGAGATTTTTCTGTCTTGGCAGGACAATGACTGGTGGCTGCCTCCATAAATCTTGTGGGTATCTGCAGCCTAGACATGTTTTAGAGCTTGCATGCTTGGGAAGATAGCATTCAGTAATCCCAAGGTTAATTTATAATTAAAGGAAGTTAGTATTACTAAGAATCAAACTTACTAAAAATAGAATTTATCTGTAAAGACTAGAGGCAAGGCGCTATCTTGCCTGCCTTTGTCTAATAAAACCAGTATTGAAACAGTTAAAGTGATCTTTAGTTGACTGTCTTAACCCAGGGGTAGCAAAGCCCCTTTCCAGGAATGCAGGGTGGAGACGAGATCCACTGCTTTCTCCCATTTTGTCCGTTTTTCACACCAACTCAAGCTCTTATCAGAAGCTGATGTATTTAGTGACTCCCTTTCCTGACTAGATCAGTTGGAGGCAGGAGCAGTTTTTGAAAGAGCGACTCAGAGCCCAGAGCATCAGCAGGACCGGGAGCCCAGCCAGGCACGGCACACCTCCTGGGGAGGCTTCACTGAGCACCCTCCAGGGCTGCTGGGGTTGCTCTCCTGCACAGGGACCCGCAGGCTCTTCTTGGCAGGAGCGAAGGGACTGCCTGGGAAACTGAGGCAGCGGCTGGCCCATCCTAGCGATACTCCTTATAGCAGAGAAGTTCAAGGTTGGTAAGTTAGTCTGCAGCTCGTACAAAGTACAGCTCAGCTTGTAAAGGTTCCTGTGGGCAGTTTGTGTTGCAATGTGCTTGGCATTATCAAGTAGAAACCTTAGTTAAAATTTAAGACGCTGATAACATGGAAGTGGTTTTAGCTGTTTTAAGTCACTTATTTTGAGTTACTACCTAGATCTTCTCGCTATCAATGTTATTTACCAAACTTGAATATTTGATACACTTTAATCAAGCTTTCCTAAATATTTAGAGATATGTTTGATCTTTAGGAATGATTTTATTCCTGATAGTGCCTTACTCCAGAGAAATGTAATGCTATAAGAACTATCAGAAGCCTCTAACAAAGTCATTGTAAGTCCCTTTTAATAGGTGGGGCAGGGGAGGGATGGGAGTTGAATGGTTACTAGTGGTCAGTGACTTGAATTGGTGCTGAAGCTCAGATTTTTGTCATGACTGAGGTTTCTGCACTGCCTGTTAGATAGATGTTCAGCCTGTTTTGTCTACATCTAAAATGTTTGGTTACATTCCTCAGGCATCAGTCTGGTTATTTTGCTAGTATTCACTTTTTATTGTAGCTAATCATACTGGCTCACATTCTTTATAACTGATGCAGTGATAACAAATTCATTTACTATATCTGGAAAATTCTGTGAAAGACAATTTAGGTATTGCTTTGAAAGTTTTTGGCTTCACATTTTGAAATCTAATTTAAGCTACCACATGGGTTAAAAGTTGACACTTCTTCCAGATTCCACACAGTAAAAACTTTCCCAAAGTTGCATCTATGTAGGCAAATTCAGGAGCCAGTCTTTTTAGTTCATCTCATGCTCTAGCCTTAAGTTTACCAAAATGGCAGTTGCAGGACTTGTTTCAGTATTGCCTGCAGAAGTGCAACCAGATTCACATTGAAATGGAGATTTTATTGTAACTAGGTCCAGGGACACACAACAATTTTACAGGTATATTGGTCTGCGCTTTAGTGCTGGGACTAAGAGGTCAAGACTTAAGTTCCTTCTCCAGCAGGTTCAAGCTACTTTTTTTCAGTGGCTAGTTAATTTACACCATCCTTTCTCTTTCAACATAAAGTTTTCAAACTTGTTGTGTGGGGTAGATTAAACTGGATTGTGCTGTGAACATGAGTCATTACAGATCATTCTGCATATGAAGCTGTGCTCTTTGGATAGATACTGAAACTGATAGGGCTTGACAAATTCAAATAGCTGCAGGACTTCCCCTTTTGTTCCTTTCCAGGAAAGGACCATTTCCCCTGCTCACCCAGTTATTCTGTTAAAACTGTTAATTTATAGCCTGCATCTAGTCATTTGGTATAAGGGCTGCAGCAGCTTTAGCAGGTTTTCAGCTCTTGGAAAAGCAGGTGGGGAATGTGTTAATCATTGCCATCAGCACTGACTACTCCTCCTTTTGGGCAATCACAGGGTTGCTGTCTTGTGAAGATTTCCATTGTGGTTGGCTGTGACTCAGCTTCTATTTCCCCACCTCTGACTCAAGGATTTCACCATGTTAAGAGTTTGCCAACGGCCTGATGGAGACTGGCAGTTCCCTTGAGCTGGCAGGTCCCCAAGTTCCCCACCATGTTGTGTCACTCCTAGAGACAGGCGGAGTCAAAGCATCCTCAGTGCCACAGCAAATCTGTCCCAGTTCTCACATGGTGGTTTGTCAGGCACCGGGCAGCTGCATGCAGCTTGGGTAGGACAAAGCAGATCGGTTTGGACTGAGCAGGTGAGGGGCACAGTAACATTAGCATTATACAGCAGTCATTTAAGGTAATGCGTGCAGGGCTAATTTTAAACACTGGTTTCCTGAAGCTGCTAAGAAGTGGAAGCGGTTAAACCCAAGACCGGGTTTCTCAGCTTAACTGGTACATGAACCTTCTCATTTATAGGTTTGTGCTCTAAACAGCTAATCACTGCCACAATGACATCTTCAAGCTCTGCCCAGCATCCAGCAGCTGAGAATGCCCACAGAATCACACTCGGACAAGTTAACCAGGTAATTATTTCTCCCACTGATCTTCACTGCTTTCTCCTCACTACAGCAGTGATTTCTTCCGTCAAATCAAAGCACTCCGAGTACACCTAAGTAAGAAGAATTTAGCCTAACAGAGTAGGGCTTTTATCCTGAGGAGTTGTATTAGCTTTCACTATCAGACTGATGATTTATGAACATTTTAAAGGGGGGAGGAGGGGAAAAAGCAGTTAAAACTGGCCATACAAGAAATTGTATGATGCATATTTTTGTGCTGGACCTGTACTTGAAGTACAGCATTCCTCCTAGTGCTGGACTATTTGTGACAATTGTATTGGAGCTTTGTAACCTCGTAAGCTGAACTTTGTCTAGCCAGTAATGCATCCCCATGCCTTTTTTGGAGTCAACGTAGGTAAGTATTGAACATGCAGTACTCTCATTATTGACTATTCCTAGAGTGTTGCTGGAACAAAAGGTAGTTGTAGCTGCGAGCCAAGGCCAGCGTGGCAGGTGTGTGGTTTGAGTGTGGCTCAACACCACATTGACAGCCGGTCAGAGAAGAGAAATTTGCAAACAATAACAGTAGAAATCTGGTCTAAAAATCAGGAAGGTTCCTCCAAGACAGGCATCCAACCTTCCTGAGTCTATTAATTGGAAAAAGCATCTCCACAATATGAGGGGATGTGGTAGGAGTGGAAATAAGCTGATGGGAAGTTGAGAGATCCTCCCATTTGAGGCTTAATTTAGAACTCATTTGAGGCTTACTTTAGAAGCTTTGAAACGTAGCCAAGTCCTATGCAGAACTGATGTATATGCTTGTTTATTCAACTCACTCTGCATGAAAAAATAAGTAAATAGGCTCTGATATTAGTAGCAAAATATTGATTGTCAACACTCAGTGTCCTAGGCAGTGCAGAATAAACACTTCCATTTTGGCTGTACAGTAGTAGCAAAGGGCCCATTTTAAAACGATCAAGCTAACTAGGTTACTTCTTTAATCAGAAAGAAATGCGTAAGAAGTTACTTCAAAATCCATTTGAGAGTGGTCATTAGAGAAGTGAATGAATGTAAACACATAATTTCATCTTATTAAAAACCATGTGCTGATACAAGCACTTATTTTAGTTGTGCTGAGCTTTTTCCTAGTGAAAAAGCTGTTCCTGAGAAAGAGACTTGGGGCTGGACGTGAGCTGTTCTGTTTGAGCTTGAAAATGCATTTAGCAAGCGCAATAATGAGAAAACAGGCAGACTAGACACATTCACAGAAGGGATGATTTTTTTTTTTTTACAATATTAGAAAACAGTGGAACAAATACCTTGCCAAGAAACCATCAGATAGCTGAGTAACAAATTACATTCATGACAAGCAACCAAAACCCGCTCTTACCTTGTGCAGGAAGACAGTGCTGCAGCTCAGGCCGTCTCTTGAGGAGATGTTGCAGGGCCGCAAGCAGGCTCTACTCCTTGGGAGGGGAAGTGGGGATTGCAACTGCATTTATATAGGCAGAAAGGAGGGGTGGGTGTGAGGCACAGGTGAACCCACCTAACATCGATAGGTGAGGGCCTTTACTACCTAGCATGGATTACATGCCTTGAGAAAGCATTAGCCTTGTCAAAGGGGAAACAGCAATGAACATTGTGTGCTGAGGTTTCTGTCCTGTGATGGATTGAAATATCTTGCTGTATTAGCATCTGATGGACAAGGAGAACAGAGGAAGAGATTCAGTGTGGGAATTAGTAATATTGTACACAATTGTGTAGCATTCAGAGAACAGTGAGCGCTTTCTGACATTTTTAGGGAACACAATGCATCAGATCATGTGGTGGCACTCTCCTAGGAATTGTTAAAATTCTTGTGGAGTAGATGAAGTAGCAACGTAGGGGGGAAGTAGCTATTTAAAACTTGCTGCTGTTTTATATAGCATCATCTGTTTCATGTGCTACTCAAAGCTGCTTGGGTGTGTGGGTGAAACCCCAAGGGGTTGTGGAGCAGTTGCATCGTTCCCAGAGTGCTTTATATTTTATATAATAAAGATTTTGGTTGATGAGTGAGATCCACAGAAAATACAGGTTCTGATCCTTGGTGTTAATTAACCACACCTTGTGTTTAATGCAGTCTTATTATCATGTGCCTATTCATGGATCCTAATAAATACATACTCCCTAAGGTCTGTGCAGACCAGACCTGATTTGTTCACTGCACTAATTGAGAAAATTCAGGCATGCTGCTCTTGAAGCGGCAATCTGAGTGCACCATCATTGCTCCTAAATATATGACTCAGTACATTTGGTTAGTCACTGTCTAGGACTCCATACCAAGGGTCTGAGTTTCCAATCTTCCCTCACAGGATGAATGACATCAAAGTTAATGGGACAATGTGAGTGATTAAAGCCTTTAGAGCTGGCTGCCCAAATTCCTTGGCTTTTTTTGTCTTGCACTTGAGTCAGAATGATTGTGCTGATTTCCAGTCCTTCTAACTTCTTTTTAAGCATTTGTCCATGCAGATTACTTGTAAAAAAGAATACCAGCCTTAGCAGGTTAACCTGAGGCAAGTGGTGTTTCCCCTCGGTTGTCAGCTCTGTGCTTGGTGTGACCGTCTTACACAGGTTGACTTGGGCAGCTTGGGTTTGTTAGCTGTGATATGCAGGCACGCGTGCCAGGGTGAGGTGCTTTCTCTCAGCAGGGCACCGCTTCGTGTCATTCAAACAAAACTCTGTGCTTTGTGTTTTAGGTGCGACCCAAACTGCCGCTTCTGAAGATTCTGCAGGCTGCAGGCGCCCAAGGTGAAACCTTCACACTGAAGGAGGTGGGCTCAGGTTCTAGGCACTGAAACTGTGCCTGTCCCCGGTTGTTTGGGAGATGGCTCTTTGTGGGGAAGGGATGGGACTGGCTATTAATTTTCTTGTACTTTGAAGCCCTGTCTGCAGAATAGGGATACCTTACCCGCAGGGCTGTTGTGATTTGGTTGATCATAAATTGCCTTGAGAGCCCCCAGAGGAATTGGAATAAGAGTGTGAAATATTAAAGAAAATTATTTATCCTGGAAAAGCAGAAACCTCTTTAGAGAAAGGAGGGATGGGAGAGCCACATTCCTCAGAGCGTGTAGGAGATTCTGTTCAATTGTCTTGCTCTCTGCTCAGTGCATGAAAGCCTTAAAAATTGAATCCTAGTTGATATTTTTCTTTAACTTTCCTTTGAAATGGCTTGTCAGCTAAACCTAAGAGACCCTGTGAATTCATTGATAAGATTAAAATGCAATATGTGTACAAGATTAAAAAAAAATGACACTGACTGTGATTTACAAGAGTATCCTGTCTGCAAAGAATTAAATGCAGTGGTTTTTCATTATGAATGTGTCAAATATTCCTGCAGAGCCCTGTGACTTATTTTAAACACTTATGCATTTAAATAACTTATTTAGCTTCTAAAAATTTTTGCAAAACCAAGTTGAATGGTTTAAATGGGGGGAGTTGAGTATTAAATGCAGGTTACTTGTATAGATTAACATTTAACTTGGTTAAGTCATTTTTTTCTGCAGTGAATGGAGTACTGTTAGCAACTTTTTGGTGACACTTTCATTCAGGGGGGGTCACTTTGGTGGGTAATGGGGGATGCGACCTGCCTATATTATGCTTAACGCACTTGGCTTTCTCCTCTTGCACTCTGGATTCCTCACTCTAGCTGGCAGTGTCCGCTAGCTCTCAGAGGATGTTTCCTTTCCATCCTTCTTTGTGATACTAATGCACTTATTTTTGCGTCTTGCAAACTGTCTCCTGAGGGACAGCACTGTAACTTGTGGTCATCCTTTAGTAATAGCTTATTCTTTTAACTGGGGATACCTTCTGCCTCCTCCCCACCCATTTCCTTCTCTTCTTTACTCTGAGTTGAACAGCAGCAGTCTCCATCTCTCACCGAGGGAGACTGCCCAGATAAAAGTGTTATCACCCACGTCGTGTTTCGTTTTAATGTGAGGTAGCAGAGTGACTTCTGTTTATCCGTCTTCGACTCAGTTTTCCTTCTTGTCAAGGGTTAATAGTTACAAACCTTACAGCAATATGGTAAAGCATAACTCTCCCTTGGTTGGGAGGCACTGACAAATTGCAGATGTGCATAATAAGCAGGTACTATGTGACTCGCACTATGTGATTTGCACTAAAGCAAATTTTCACGTTCTTTGGTGGTTTGGTTTCAACTGCAGATATGGCTAATGGTATGTTATGTATCCACAGGTTATGCATTACCTAGGGCAGTATATAATGGTGAGGCAGCTATATGACAAAAGACAGCAGCACATTGTCTATTGTGGAGGAGATCAGCTAGGAGAACTACTGGGACTGGAGAGCTTCTCTGTAAAAGACCCAAGGTAGGAAAAAGTGACCTTTAACAATTGTTGTGTTATAGAGGTTGTCGAGACGGGAGACTTGCTTGTCACTGTTTCTGTCCACTGTCGCATAAACCTCCGTGAATACCAAGTGCCCTGCTCAGTGGCTTATTGGTAATGCATTTGACAAGTTTGAGTTTAGCGCCTTTGTTCTGAAGAGCCAGTTCTGAGTAGTCCAGGCAGTGAGCTGCTTGAGGTGACATCTTTTCCCCCTTTTATTTCTGCATCTTCTCAGGCCCTTGATCTCACACTTAAGCGAAAATCTGCATCCTTCAGTTAAGTTCTGAGCTAGACTTCTCCATAGCAAGCATTTAGGACCCCCCCCCCCCCCCCCGCAGTTTCCAGTGTCTCTCTGGATAATAAAAGAGAATTTCTGTCCCTGGTTTAAAAGGGTAATGCTGTCTGGTTTTGTGAGTGTACTCAACTGTCGCCTTCTTTCCCACAGCCCAGTCTATGACATGTTGAAACGGAACCTGACTTCTGCTGCAATGGCAGGTAGGTTTGTCACAGTATGGGCAAGTATATTCAATGTAGTGTTGATGTAACTTGGGTAAGTAATGATACTCAGAAAAGAGAAATGTTTCTGAAGTTGGAACAAACTGCTAATGAAGGCTTTGACAAGACAGTCTCTTTGAGTATGTGTCTTTTCTGTGTGTCCACCATCAGTAGCTGTGATATGAAATCAGTTAGCTGTTTGAGTAACGTGGCTGCCTATAATGAACGGCCAAACCTCGGGGCAGCAGACACACTCTGGAAGCACACTGACAGAGCTAAATATTGTGGATGTACAAATCAATGTGGCTGAAGTATCCCCTCCAAATCATTATTGATTTCTCAGTCTTTTCTCAGTTTCATAGCATGCTGCGACTTCTCGCTCTCACCTCGTTTTAAGCTTTCATAGTCTTGAGACTGAATGTAAGAGTGCTGGAAAGCCAGCCTGGTTCTGCAAGCCAAAGAGACTTTGGACTTTAATCAAACACTTGAACCTTTAAAGGTCATTGTTACTTTCCCGGCTCGTAAGAGAAATCAAATCTATCTACATCAAAAGTCCTCCAGTCATAAATTAAAATTTATTCTTAAATTAACCTCAGCTGATGGCTTCTTTGCAGCCAGTTTCCATTGTATGGCTGGTAATCTTCATTTGAAAAAAAACTTCTGATAAAACTGCAAGTGTGCAAATCATGAGGGAGCTGCACCAGGAGAGTTGTGGAGTCTTGTGCCGTACTTCCTGGCGTCTCTAAGCAGATAATATGGACTTCGCTCTTCATAAGGGCTTAGTCTATTTTTGCACACGTACATAAAAGCTTGTGGAAATTTAGAAACTGTTTCAGAAAACATGGCCCCAAACTGCCTAGTCCTCTGCTTTGAGCCATATATTGGTGCCTGTGAGGACCCCCTCATTTATTTATATAGAAGAATCTTCCTAAGCGGACTCTCGTCTAAACACGTTACCTCCAGAATAACTGTGTGAGTGCTGTTTCCCTCGCTGGTGATGGCCTGGCCTCTTCCCTATAGGCAGTGTATGTGGAGAGCAAAGGATCCCAGAGAAACTCTCTCCTCTGCTGCCCTGTCGCCCCTTCTACTTCGTGTGTGCATGTGGCTGTGTGTGTGTGCCTGCGTGTGCATGTATGGTCCAGTCATGGTGTAACTATTTTTAAACCTGCCAAAGGAAATACTGCTCCTTTAGGGAGATGATCACTGAGTTATACCACTGTGTCTGCATGTGTGTGCGTGACTATAAAACGAAACAAGCTTGGCAGACCAGACCTTTGACGAATACATAGTCTAGGATGACTTTGTTTTTCCTTCATCGCACCATAGGAATAACTAGAAGTGCCACAGGGCTTGAAGAGGTCTTCGTGTTTTGTAGTAGCCGCTTGTATTCATTAGCCAAATCAGTGCTTATCAGCACATCATTTTGCAGATTATCTCAGCCACTTCTTTAAAGTAAAAAGTGACTGCAGTACATCTTGGTAATAAAGACTAAGCTCTTAGATAATGCCCTTTATCAGATGGTGTCCTTACTTGGCTAGCTTTTACTCTAAGTGTGACTCACATGAGGTGTATTTAGGAATACCTCACTTAAGGACATTTTGTGTTCAGTTCCTAGTGTATGTTGGCTTGGAAGAAGGAAGCCTTCCAGTAAGTGGAGCGTCTTCTCACACAGTAAGGCTAGTTTGCATTATTTATGAAGTGTTAGAAGGGTAAGTCTTTACCTCTTCTAATGCCCCTGCAGAGCCAAAATAATTATGGATGAGCCAATTGGCTTCTGTTTTCCTTCAGGTATTAAATAGTCAGTGACTGCAGAAGTTGTAGGGTGATAAAAGGGAAGAAAAGAAAGATGAACTAGTGCATGGAGGGCAAAGAATATGGGATAGAGCCATGTCATTTTGTGGTCCTGTGTTTTGGTCCATTTTATGGACTGCTTTGTGGTCCACTTTTCTGCCTACAGCAGCAGTTTTCAGTATCTTCATATCAGTGCCATGATTCATGATGTGAATCGGACTGTTCTCTGCTAAATTGAAAGGGAAGCAAGCAGGAGCCATCCTTGCATCTTTTGTTCTCTAGCAAGTCATTCTGTTTAAAGGGTAGACTTCCTAAGTGCAACTCTCCTATTATGTAGAAAGATTTCTGTTAATTTGGTTGTTCTTGCTATTTAGGTTGGCCTTTTAATTAACTCTTGGGGCCGGCATAATCGTCTGGATTAAATTGTGTTACGGATGTGTACCCAGTTACCCAGGAAAAAGCTTGCTGTGCATGGAATTTTCCCTTCTTTAGTCTAGTCATTGTTCTTCATGCCCACACCCTTTAAGAAAGGTGTTTTTCCTGTCAGCCTAAGCTGAAAGAGATGGTGTCCTCAGGTATTTATAAAAATCTTACTCTTCTCTGTTCACCTTCTTCAGCATGGATCTGATCCAGCCTTCAAGTGAGAGTCCCCACCCTCTGCTATTGCTCTGGGTTTCTGCCTCCATGCAGACCTCTTGTGTAAAGGACCTAAAACTTGCGATGGCAGGACAGCCTGTAGGAAAAAGAATAGTATTTCACATTGGGAAGAAGGTTCTTACCTGCTGTGAGGTTTCATCAAGCTTCATCTCCGAGGAGGCACAGACTCTGTATTCCATAGGCTAATGCCTCCATATGTCCCTTGCGAAGCCTAGGGAATACTGGAGTAATGCCTCTAGAAAATGGCCAGCTTTATAAGGAAGAAAGGGCTCTGTTTCTCTTAAAGGGTTACTTAGAGGTCTGCCAAGCCTGGCTCGTTGGTTGCTTGCTGAAGACTCTCTGTGTTGTGAGAATGGTTATTACCAGGGAAGGTTTTTTCTTTTGTTTTACCTGCCATCTAGATGCTGCACAGAATCTCGCAAAGGAACAGAGCGTCGATAAGCCAAGCCAAGACCAGCTGAAGGTAAACCCACTGCCTGGTGGTTTCTTTTGTTGTACAGAGTGCCCCTTCTCTGTACCTGTGCATGGTGGACTGCCAGAACTTTGTGCTGCTTGGCTGCCAGGTCCTCACCTTCCTGAAAAGTTCTTGGAGTCCACAGAGCAGGGACAGAGTGACCCTTCTCTGTTCTCTTCATAACAGAGTACCAGTCTCTGAGCGCGTTTCTCTGGGGTGTAGCACTTCTAGTCCTCAGTTCCTCCAGCGTGCTTTGTATTTTCATGTCTTTCCCCCCTCTCTCCCATCCCCTCTCTGAGTAGGAATTGCCAAATAATTAAGCTTTCTAAAATGTGTGAACAAGTTTTGTGTTTAGTAGGATTGTTTTCAGAAGCTTTCAGGCAGAATCTGAAACCTAGGAAAAATCTTTGCACGTTCAAACTTGTTTCCAGGTATATTTTGGGGTTAAGGTAGTCTGATCCGGGAGGTGTCCGTTCACATTGGGGGCCAGAGAGTTACAAAGATCACAGTATTACTGCATTAAAGATGGCAACTTTTGGTCTTTTGCCAATCTTAAGATTTTTCCTAGGTTGGAAGTATATTGTTTGTGCTGATTACAGATGCATTAGCCTTCTTGAAGGGTTAATAGTGTGTAGTTTTTGTTCAGAAACCTTTATTTCTCTTCATAACTTCTTGGTCTCGTACTGCAGCTGGTGACTCGGATGGAAGTGCTACATCCCCTTGTCTCTATAAGCTCTGATGGACTAACATCTGTTTTTTCCTTCCTTCATGCAGTTTAGCCGGCAAGAAGGTTCTGACACTGGCATCATGGAGGGTGAAAGCAATGCTTCTGCTTTGTCTACCTCAGAGCAAAAATGTGAGAATTCTGAAGGTGAGTGCCAGCTTTTCTGCAGTAACACAATGGGTACAAGCTCTTCTGCTCCTTCTCCGGTGTGACACGTTGAGCTCTGCATCAGCAAAATGCTGGAGGAGGGTGTTGGGAGACTAATAAAAACCTGTTGTGGAATACAATCTTTAAAAATCATCGTTTTATGCTAAAGATTGAGAGAACTGCAAATGTTCACCAAAGGTATTTTATGATAGACGTGTTTTCTAGCTTGGATATTTGGTCTCATAAATAAACAAACACTTTGAATAAAATGGGAGGTTAAGCCCCAAAAGCACATCTATCACTAAACAATGCCATGAAAAATCTTACAGACCTTGCTGAAGGGTATTTTAAATGCTGAAATTATACTTGTATCTATTTATCTTCCCAAGGGACTCTCTCCTCTGATTACATAGAACACAGCCTGAGCTGTCTGCAGTCATTACCTGCAAACCAGTCAGGGAACTGAATAACAATGGAATTTTTTTTCTATCCAGCTTAAGTGTAATACAGCTCCTTCATATTTAGACATTGCCTTTGTTTTAATGTCTGAGGATTTCTTGCTGGTTCACTCATATGGATTTCTGATGTTACAGAAGCAATTTTCCTGTTTTTCTACTTTCTATTCTCACGTTGTTCTCATATCAAGGAACCTAATTTGTAAAACCAAATCTTCTTGGCAAGTGTGGGTATTTCCAGGTCAAATGAGAGTGGTAGATATTTTCCTGGCTGCATGTACAAAAGAGGTGTAAACAGTCCTTGTCTGTGCCTTTGTAACTCTTGGCACTGAAGAGAGAGAGATTCAAGGTCATCTTGAAATTCAGACCGCTGAGTTTAGGATCATAGACTAAACTGCACGGGCTAAAAAGGGGGCTGAAGCATGGGATTACGTAGGATGGATTCTTACCTTCCTGCTTCCTATTTTGAGCCTGGTTTGGGATTCAGGAGCTCCCATCACTGGAAATTTGAACTAAATCCAAACCAGTTCTTTCTGTGTCTTAAGTCACTCAAGAAATTTACTCAGTGTTGACTTGGTTAGAGCTCTGAAAGAAGCGTTCGTGTTTCTGTATTGAGTCTTAAAAGTAAGGTAAAGCTAAAGAGAACGTGTACCGTTATAGAGACACTGGGAACACTGGGATGCTTCTCTGACCTCGGATGGCTGTGCAGTGACTATTTTGCCAGGTTCACGTGGGTAGAGACACGAGTACAGATGTGCGGCAGATCTAACATCCCAGTACACTCATACAAACCCCAAAGCTCTTAGCAGTAACTGGCTGTAAGAAGGAGCAAGAAAGATTTCTAAAATCAGATGGGGCCAACTTTCTCTCTGCTAGTCTCTTAAATAATGTAGGTGTGGCGTGACTTAGATTCTACTTGGCTCTTACAGACAAAGACTTAATAGAAAACCTCTCTAAAAGCAAGAAGCCTAAACTGGACCTAGTGTTTGAGGAATGGGATGTAGCTGGTCTTCCATGGTGGTTTTTAGGCAACCTCAGAAGCAATTACAAGTCCAGAAGTAATGGATCAACAGATATTCAGACTAACCAGGTGTGTAGACATTTTAAATAGGTGCGCTGTATTCTCTTCCTCTCCTTTTTTGGGTTCCAAGTAAATAAAATATTCTTGTTCTTTCTTTCCCCTTCCCACTCCAGGATTTTCAGCCTCTCCCTGTGTGTTCCTGTCCCAGCCTTTCACATCAGGTGGTTGGTTACCTTTAGTGTTTTTAAATAAACTAGGCACTCTCTGAAGGCTGTGTTCAGCCGTTGGAGGTCCTTCTGCACTCCAGAGCATCGGTTGTATTTCAGGAGTTGCCCCTCTTCTGGGTTGAAAGTTGTTACGCGGTGCAGATGGCTGTAGCGTGGTGGCCAGCTGCTGTATGGCCAGCTAGCAAGGGGAATGAGCATGGTGCTGCTTGCAGAAAGGGGTGTCTTTGTGAGAGTAGTGAGCTGCCCCTTTCTCTCCCAGGGGCGACTGGAGAAGCTGCCCAGGGCTGAGAAGGCTGTTAGTGAGGAAAAGGGGAGAGGCATTCGCTGTGGCGATGGCTGCGGTGCTGGTACTCCTGCTGCTGCTAACCTGAGCTCTAAGTGGTCTCTCCTGTTTCTTTTCCAACAGGACATAGACACTGCTGTTGTTTCGGATACTACTGATGACTTGTGGTTCCTCAACGAATGCCCGTCGGATCAGAGCAGTGCTGCAGTCAAGGTGGAAATGGTTGACTGCGAGGAAGTGAAAGAAGGTGACAAAAAGGTACCTCTTCAAACAGCCACAGTGCATGTGTTCCACAGGTTGGCCTTGTTTAATTGATCTCATGGTGCTGTGCTGATTTTGGAGGAGCTGGATCTATAACCATCCAGAGTTTAAACTGTCTAGAAAAGGCTGTCACCATTCCGTACGTGGGGTGATAGCTTTCCTGTGTAGTCAGTCTGCTTGGGTTTTTGTTTAAATGCGTGTTTTTCAAGGCACAAAATTAATTTAAAATTAATTAAAACTCTAGCAGCAACTTTACTATATTTCTAGCCAATATCTGCAAGACTAACAAATGAAAAGACTTGAAGAGGAAAATCTCAGTTTATGTTGTGTTAGCATGCAGTGTAAGATAGGCTGGCCTGAGTCTGCTAGCTGAGGTGTTAGTAAGATTGGTCACAAGAGTAATTAATCAAATGTGCGTTAAAAGGATTGAGTTCATGATTTCTTCCATGGAAATGAGTAGGATCGCTCAGGTGCGTATGTGTTTGTATTTGTATGATTCTTGTGTGCATCAGAGAGAGAGATGAGTTGACCACAGGCAAATAAGACTGTAAACCAGACCAGCAACAGTTACCAACATTCTGGAGTAGATACAGTACATAAAATGGCTTTTCATTCACTTCTAGAAATGGCTTCATTCTCATGGTGATGATGTAGTCATTTTAGTTTTGGTGTACAGTGCCAGGCACATCATAAATACAGATTATTGTGCCCTTCTAACAACACATCCAC